GCTGCACACCCCACTGAATATTGAATAGTAGTATTTCCATGGCAAGACTCCACTGCCGGGAAATATCATGATGGACTCCTAAGTCAGACTTCCTTTTCTATCTACCCCTTCTCCAACTCCTACCTCCAATCTGTCTCTGCTCCCTGCTTAATTCCTGTCTCACTCCAATCATTGCCATTGTTGCTCTCTTTACCACTTCTTTTTATATTTCTCTTTTCAATCTACAGATGAGGAAGACAAGACAGAGAAGGGTGCCTTGGACTTCTAAAATAACCCACTCAGTTTTCTACTGGGTGTAAAAGCGACGTGTATTTTTGTGTGAGAAGAAAAGCTTTTTCAAGTCTCAATGCACATAGGTACGTTACATAAGACATTTTTAGAAAAACCCACTTGTCAGTAAAGGATATCTCCAAATAGTATGAAAACAAAGATTCTCTACAGAGTCAATAGATCAGCTCCATCTTACTGAATGGCAGGTGACAGAAAGCCCGATAGAAACTTTCTCAAACAAAACTAATTTATTATTTCAAATAAGAGAAAGGTCAAAGGATAAGTTTTGTTTAAGGTGACACTTAATTCGAGATTCAAGTAATTTTTTTAAAAAGAAACTTTTAATTTTAGAATAGTTTGATTTACCCATAAGTCGTGAAACTATTACAGAAAGGCCTCATATAACCACACCCAGTTCCCCCTATTATTAACATCTTACATCAATATGGTACATTTGTCATGTCTAATAAACCAATATTGATACATTATTTTAAGCTAAAGTTTACACTTTATTCAGATGTCCTTAGTTTTAACCTAATGTCCATTTTTTTTTTTTTTTTTTTTTGGTTCCAGGATACCACATTTCATTTAGTCAGCATGTCTCTGCAGGACCTCTTGGCTGTGATGATGTCTCATATTTTTCTTGCTTTTGATGATGTTAACTGTGTTGAGGAGTGCTAGTAAGATATTTTGTAGAATGTCCTTCAATTAAGATTTATGTTATGTTTTCCTTATGATTAGTCTGGGGTTATGGGTTTTTGAGGTAGCGTTTGTCAGGTTTCTCCACTGTAAAGTTGCTCTTTTTGCCCCCTTTTCATATTGCACTTTTTGGAAGAAAGTCACCATGTGCAGTACAAACTTAAGGAGTGGGGTGTCATGCCACCCTTCCGCAATGTGGTGCATCTACATGTATTATTTGGAATTCTTCTTCACAGAAGGTGTGCACATTCTTCTCTGTTTATTTATTTATATAATCATTTATTCATATCAATATGAACTCATAAATTTTTTTTTATATTTTGGGTTATGTTTCAATACAACTTGCTGAATTTTGTTGCTCAAATTGTTTTAGTTTTATACTTTTTGTGAACTCTTTTTGTTGGCTGTGTCACTTTGATATACCTCTGTTATTGTGAGTTTTTTTGGTGATGGAGGCTTTTTTTTTACTGTCAGGTACTATAAGATTCTCCAGGCTCATCTTGTGCATTTTCAGCTCAGTCCTAGATTTGGCCATTTCTTCAATGGCCATACCTTTTATTTGAAAATGGTTTTAGAAATCAAGATCTAGGTGTTAGGTATGCTCATTGCTATGGGAGTATTCTTGCTTCTAAGCCTTCTCAGCTGACTGAGCAAGGAAATACACACACACACACACACACACACACACACACACACACACACACACAGACTAGAGATTAAAATGATTTTATCCAGACTGAAAATTCCCCTTATTTTCATCCAGGTTCTCCATGATGACTCAATTCTTGGGCAGCGATTTTCTTCATACTTGCAAAGGAGCTATGGCAACTGCAGAAATTAAGTTTCAAGGAACAAAAAGGAGTGTCTTTTCCACAATACCCAACGAATTACCACCAAGTCTCATTGGTCCTTTTTATGTCCCATGCCAATTCAGGAATTGAGCAATGTAGCCAAGCAAAATGGGATATTTTAGGTTATGTGATCCCTAGAGTTAAAGGAATGATAGTGTTTGAACTACATGGGCTAAGAACACAGGAGACATGATTTTCAAGTGGTTGATAATAATAAAAGGGAAACAATAGCCATATGGTTGAAAATGATAATTTCCACCACAGTCAATTACCACCACTTCTATGAATTCTGAAGTTCTAAAACTGGCTACCACTTACTGTGATATTTTGAAAAAAAGTAAGATAGTTACTTAAAAAAAAAATGATGCATCAGTAAATGGCTTGGGCTCTATTGAAAGCAAATGTACACTTACAACTTCTGAAAATTGAATAGTTCTTTACTATATTTTTGCATATGAGTATTCTCTGCTTTGAAACTACAAATGCGAAGAATGAATCCATTGTCAAATTACTTTCTGGTTTAACTTTTAAAAATAATTTTTCTTTTACAAAAATTGGACATTTATGCTGGGAGGAAATAAAATCTGTTGTCGTTTGTCATCGTTGTTCATTTTGACTGTCTCAATTGGTTTTCTTTATTTATCTCTTTCGGGAATGTATTTATTCAAAGGTAAATGAGACAGCTTGCTGTTCATTCATCAAAATGTTAAGATACTTTGTTTTCTTCCACTTTAAGAAAGTTTATGAAACTTTTAAAAGAGAAAAACTATAGGATGGAAGAACTTTAGGATAGCATTAAAACTGAAACCATTACTATGATTTGAAGTTTATGTTTTTTCTCAATAAGGCTTTCACGCCCCTTTTTAATTAAACCAGCAATTAGCAAAACAAAATTTCCACTGTAAAAAGATTATTTTTTAAAAATTTATTCTTTGAAAAAAATACTAGTTTTAAGATATTACAAGTTATCACCAAAGTTTGCATCTCATTTTTTTTATCTGAAGTCAGTTATTGGTTCTGTATATTTAAAATTATTTTATTGCTTAAAAAATATTATCACCCATTGGAGAGACCTAAAGGATTACAAAATAAAACATTAAACATGCTTCTAATATGAATTTTTAAATGTATGGCTGCTTAGGTTCCTGTGACATATGTTCAAATTGTAATTAAGCCACAAATATGTTGGTGACTTCTAAATTTAAAATCTGCAAAATAGACATAATTAAGTTGGGAATTCTGGTTGTTTGGTTGTTTGGAACCCTTAGACAATTGAACTGCAGAATTAAAAAAAAAGTATATGTTTATTTTTTGAAGAATGCAGTAATGATATATTTTTGACTTACGAGACTTTTTATTTTATTTTATTTTTTAAAGCTCTTTTGACAAGAATCTTTGCCACTTCTTCCCTACCATAAAGAGTGACTACTTGCTCTAATTTATTTTCTTATGACTCTATTAAAGTATTATCCTTTTTTGAGTGCCTGATATTTCTAAAAATATTTAAGTTTTGTCTTAAAAATGTCCCTATGTACGTAAGTTTCTTATAAATATAACATCCAATTTGGGATCAGCATATTATTTAATATTTTAGGTCAATTTTATTAATAATTATTTAATGTAAATATTTTACATACTGGACATGGTGATAATAAATGCTTTTAACACATTTCATTTACTCTTTATATTTTAGTAGGATCGACATTAAAAACCTCAGTTTTAGAGAAGAGAAAACTAAGACTCAGAGAACTTAAATTAATTTAGGTCATACAGAAGAGCCAGAATTTAAACCGACATGTAGAACATGATGTACTACAACTAAAAACCAAAAGAGACATTTTAACATACAAAGGAAAAAAATCAAAATAAACATTAATTGTTCAGAGAAAGCCTCCTCCATGGTTCTTCCACGCTCCCACATGCCTTGCTAGTGTGCAAGGTTCTGACCACTCTTTACCCAAGCCATTTCTCAGTCTTGTGTTTACAGAGAATAACATTGAAGGATGAGATAATGCCTTCCTTTGGAATAAAGAGCAGGCTTTCTATAAAAGCAGTTGATTCTCGAATTTCAGAGTTCCTCTCTTGTATTTGCAGCTCTTTATAATTGTTCCTTGCATTTAATGAGCACTCAGCATATGTTTGATGTGAGACATCCAGGACATGCTAAGTTATTAAAAGAATAAATTGCAGGAATGTATTCTCCAAATATTATATCTAATCGTGACCCTCGACTATTCTAAAAAACAAAATAATTAACTTCAATAGAAATAAGATCCATTTCTTAGAGTTGACTATGTGCCTGGTGAGTTCTTAATTCTTTATGTTGTTTTACTCCTTGCAACAATGCTTTAAGGTAGAGAAACATTTTTCATCAAGAAATGTAGAATGAAAAAGAATCTTCAAAGAAAAGTACCCAGTAAATGCTTACTTCTAATATATACACAATATAAATCTGAGGAAGAATCTGTTATAGAGAAAGGACTGCACATGATTGGTCAAATATTTATTATACGTTAGGTTAGGGCCACTTGTACCTCATAATTCTTATGAAAGTGGCTTCACCTTGGCAAGAATCAATGCTTCAAATACTATTCCAAGTTTCAGTGTATGAAATCAAAGTGAAGACAAGAGTCCGGGTAAATGTTTTAGAGGAGCACTAGAATGGCTTTGACTTAGCCGAGCACCCTAGTTCTTTATTGCTAAAGCGTCTGAGGATGGTAGTTCCCCTGGGTTAGTCTCTCAATTCTAATTTCCAAGACTTAACCCCCCTTCCAACCCTCTTTAGGCACTGAGAATCTTCCTCTTTTCCGGGGGTTTTCCTTGGGGACAACTGGGGCTGTACACACATCTAAAAACCAGAGACTGATGATGGGCATGTAAGAACCAAGGAAAGGGAGTTTAGAGAAGAAAATAAAGTGAGGAAGAAATGTTAGGTCAAAACTAAGGAAAACCAGCTGCCTCGATAAGAAAATGTATGTAATCCAAGCCAACTAACTGTTCCTTGCATCTTATCTCGTCCACTTCAGGGTAACTAGGCAACGGCGTTGCCGTGGTAACCTGGGAAGCGGAGGGGGCACCAACGCTTAGGGCTGGGGCAGCCCTTCCAAGCCAGAAACTGGCCTGGTGGGAGGGGTGAGGGAGTGTCACGCTCTCGCGAGAGCTGCATGGGGTCTCCGGCAAGCGTCTTCGAAGTTGCTCCTGGGGACGGGGCGGGGTCCGGAGCAGTGGTGATGGCTTCTCAGCAAGGGGTGCCCACCTCGCCCCTGCGGGTTCTGGAAGAAGCGTTGGGCATGGGTTTGACGGCTGCCGAGGAAACCGCAGACGCGGTGGCCGCCGAGGGCGCCTACTACCTGGAGCGTATCCTTCCCGAGCAGGCGCGGCTTCTAGGCGCCGGCGGTGGTAACGGGCATTGGGGGCGAGAGCGCGGGCTTCCCGCTGGGGGGCGCCCTATAAGGCTTGGGGCCTCCGAGCCGGCTAGACGCCTGTTGGTCCTTAAGGTGGCGTGTTCGCCACCGCGATCCCCTGGTAGCGACCAGTGAATTTTTCGCCTGTTAGTGTTAGGCTGCCGCGTTTCTATTGGAAGAAGAGTTGAAAGACCTTTAGGAGTCTCGTGCTTAGTAACCACTCAGTAAACTTTGGATAGAAGTTTTATGTGAAGGTGGCACAAGAAATTGATCTAACCTTCCTTTCGCTTAGTGTTTTTCCTAAACAAACTCTCAAACTTTCAGAATACCGTTGGAACAAATTTAAATAGAAGAAAGAGATTAGGAAAAGACCTCTGCCTCTGGCTTTTAACGAGCTGAAGCTCAGCATATCCAGCCCGTGTCCAATGCTTAAATGATTTGTTTCGGTAGCATCAACTTCCTGAGTAGTTTCAGTTGTGGCTATTTAGTAATAATTACTTTTTTTTTCCTTTAGTAATTAAATGATATCCTGGTGGGCTGACAAGGCTGAGAGGTGCTGCTGGGAAAAAGCCAGATAATGATGAGCGATTATCAGTGGAAATACCAGAATAATTGAAAAACCATGTATGGATAATTAAGTTCACTATTTCTTTTGAGTTCCCCTCCTTTAGGCATATCGATTAATTGTATTGGAGAGATGGGGAGAGTTTATGAGAGAAAAGATAACCTACTCCTTTCTTTAGACAGGTAGGAGGGAGATGGTTTATCTGTTTTATTCTTTAAGATATCAAACTCCAAAGTTTACCTCGTATATATTATTTTGTTCAATTATAATCACTCCAGCTTTAATTCAAGACCAACACTGATTCATTTTGTGAGCTTTTGCAAACTGATTAACCCGTCCTGGTTCAGGCTCAGTACACATGCCTGCTACAGGGAGCATTGAAGAACTTAGTTGAAAAGATCTAAGAAAATAGGAGTATTTTGAGCAAACATGATTTGTACAGGTATATAAGTTTGAATAGTTGGAAATCAATTTGCATGAAATATGTAGGTGCTTTAGTGTCTGAAATGAAGTTTTATAATTTTTTTATAGTTCTAACGAGCTTTTTTCAGTAATATTTCTTTTTAAAAGAGAAGTCAGTAATTCTTTCAGAGCTTATCTGCATCAAGTATAAAGTTACCCAGTGTCCTTGCTAGTGAATGATAACCAGTCATCTTAACATTTTTGTCTGCATTAAAGTGATTTCTGTAACACAGTTTAATTGTTAACATGAGACAACACGATGAGGTAACTTTTTGCAAACTTTTTTTTTTTTTTTTTTGGTAATAAATGGTGGGACTCCAATAGAGCACAACTTTCAGCAGTGAAAAATCAGGTTTACTTAATTGGCAGGGAAGTCACTGATTCACAACTGCCAACATAGAGCAGTTTGCAATAATCCTGTTTTACAAAGACTTCTCTAAATAATCACATTTGCAAATATAAGCAACTGTAATTAGAGTTCATTTTCCAGTTTGTGATTATCTAGCCCTTTGCTTTTCTTTCATCTCTCTTTTGCTTGACTGATTGCAATTTTGGGTTTCAACCAAAGAGTAGTCAGGGGATAACAAAACTAAACATTTAACCAGTCAATTTTCCTATATTCAATGCAGTGTTCAGGTAAGAGGTTTAGTCATGGGAGAAGCTTGAACTCTTAGTTAAAATGGAGTTTGAGGATTACTTCTGAATGTCAATTATCCCTGTATCCCTGAGCTCTCTTAACATGCATAATTAAGAGTTGACTGTATAATGTTGTTTGACATTGTTTCTTAAGGCAATTATGATAGTTGCTGAAGTGAGACTTTCTTGGGTTTAAAGTCTTTAGCTCGCAGGTAATTTAATTGAGCTATTGCAGTGGATAAATAAAAGTTATAATATGCATAAATGAATCAGAAGTCTGATGTTCTCTACTTTGCTCATTCACTTAATCACTTCTAATCTACTACGTTTGGTATTGAACGTCCCTTATTTATGACTGAACAGATGCTCTTGGAACACTAGACAATGAGCTATCAATATTGAGTAAGGCTTTGAAAGAGGTTGACTCAGACTCGCCAGGAAATCACCCTTTGCTTTTAAACACTCAGACATAAAGAATATGTACAGACGAATGGGCCCAAACCAGAAACAGCCAGGATCCACCATGAGGGGAAGGCTTCATGCGTAAAGGCCCCATGTTCCTGACAACAATTTAGGAAACATGTTTAGGAAAAAGATTTCTTACTCCTGCAACACCCCTGCCTTGTAACCGCTTGGATTTAACAGTGCCATCTGCTTCTCTTCAGAAGCTTTTCACAATATCCTTGCTTTTATGTTTTGAACTTCCACAAGATGAGATACAAACATAGATGACATAGTTCTTACATAGCTATCTCTAGAGCTTTAAGAAATCTAGTCATAGAGTGCATAACTCCTCTGGAGAACTTTTCATAAGAAAGGTATTTGCAGCATTGTAAAATAGAAAGCTAGATTTTTACTGTGCGATCTGTTAAGGGCCAAGTAGGTGTCTCTAGAATTTGTAAAGAAGGTTGTTTGTCTTTTGTGAATGAATCCTTGATGAGAAATCATTATGACTTGGGTGAGGCTTTCAATTGTAATAATACCACGGGCTGCCTATTAATGTGTGGCTGTAGACATTTGGGAGTGCCTAATTCCACCTGGGAGGTGCAGGCTGGAATGATTTGTATTAAGAAAGCTAATACCTAATTGATTTTGTTGCTACTTGACTAGAGAAAGTCCTTGTTCAAGGAAGAGTAATGGAGTACATGGACTCTAGGAAAGTGGAGCACCCAAAGCGTTTTCGTTTTGTTTTGTTTTGTTTTTTGTTTTTATCTACCTCTCTTTGGGCTGATTCTCTGCTTCCCTAACTAGCTTTTGATTATTAGATCATCTTTCTAGGCATTCTAACACTAAGAATTTGGCTTAGATCATGGACATAAGATTGCTGGCCATTGAAAAGGTGTTCTCTGATCCCAACAACAATTTCTGAGGACTGAGTTAAGCCAGACCTTTGAGGCTAATCAATCTGAATGCAGCCCTATAGCCAACTGTTTCTGGAAATGCAAAATTAAGGATTCCAGACCTTGAAATACGGTGATCACGCTAAACTGACACTTAAGATGCCTGCTTGTCTTTTTAAGTGACATCCCTAGCTAATCTTTCATTGCAGTAGTGATGTTCACTGATAACTTTGTTTAATTAAAATTGAACTTTTGTCATCTAAAAATATTTTATTATTCCTTTGAACATTTTTTTATGTTACTTCTCTAGAATGTTTATAGTATTAAGCAAGAAGATATTTGTAAAATCCTTCATAATCATTATGTACTCAAGTCGTATATGTCTTATTATCATTGCAAAACTGATCTTGCTCATGGGTGCTTAGTTGCAGTCTACATATAGTCAAATAAAAAGGATAGAAAATCTGAATGTGGAATCTAGACCAAGAGCCATGTAGCCCCAGAGTGCTGAATTTTACATGCATGAAAGTCATAAGCTATTTGGACAGAAAAAATTATGTGTTTTGTTCTTTGTCCTCTAGTCAGACTCTAGTGTGCATGTGAATTAAAGATATAGATCTTTAAATGACGATTCTAGTTCAGTAAGTCTGGTTTGGGGCCGAGACTATGCATTGCTAACAAGCCTCCAGGTGCTTCTGGTAAGAACTATAATGGAGTAGCAAGGCTGCAGACAGATATCTTAACCTCTAACCTTTATATTTTCAGATACGGGTATAATATGTAGAGTTGATATCTTTGGATCTCCTGGCTTAGAAGTTGGAAAACATCAGCACCAGCTGTGAGAGCTGTGAATCTTACATGTTGAAAGAAAGTTATTTTTCAGTTTCAGAGACAGAATATGTACAGTAGCTAGCTGGGGCAAGGGTGGCCAATAAATTTCCATTCTTGGCAATAATATTGAAATAGTAGTGGCTTCCTGGAATGTGGTGTTAATAAGAATTCTGAGACCTCATGAAGACTTGGTGGGAAAGACTGCAGGAAGCAAACAACAATGGGGAAAGCAGGAACAAGCATGCCAGTTATATGTAATCTTTGGTTTATATTATTCAGTTAACTTTATTTAGTTAAATTGGCATTCCTAAGGAAGGGAACATGACTGTGATGTTGCTATTTACAGTACTTTTATTTCATTAGGTAAAATGTTGATCTTGGAGGATCAAGACTAGATTTTAGATTGCCTCTGTGTACATTGGCTCTGCAGTGATGGCAAAAATTACAAAGCAATTTCTGTCTATAGTAGCTTTGGGAAATCATGTAAAATATAATTAGCTATATGCTTCACTCCAGTTCTTTATAAAGATGCTGCTGCTGGCAGTGATCAGTACCTACAAATGCAGTAGTAGAAGAGACCAGTGTATGAGGAAGTTTGTATGCTGCTCATATCCAAAATTTATTTCTTTCTGGCTGTGGCCCATTCGCAGAACCTTGTCTGTTACCATGTCATACCAACTGGCACCTCAAGCTCTGCTCCATTAGACCAGATGAAATACTTTCCTGAGGCTTCCTGCAGTTGTGTCTTCTGCAGTACTATGGTGGATTTAGGGCTGCCTGGCAGTTTCAGTGTGGATATATATTGGTTTACTTTCTGGTAAGATCTAGAAGGTCAGGATCTAGTGAAGATTCTGCTAGTGCAAAAGTACCAGTTAGTTCACCCATGGTGAATAAATGCCAGGGAACTGATTTACACTGTGCAAACTCAAATCCTATTAAATTCCTTCTAGTACAAGTAGAGATGGGAAGGAGTGGGACCCTTGGTCTGAGTCTGGGCTATGACTCTAGCACACAGAATGTGGCCTGGAAATAGGTGGGACTATATGCTATGGCTACAGACAAGGGAGGACTGGGGAGCCACAGACGGTGCTCTGGGCAAGAGCAGGCTAGAAAACCAGGCATAGTATTAAGGTTCAAGTCAAGCTCAAATAGGCAGAAAGGCAAGAACCAGATCTGAGGAGAATAGACAGGTGGGAAAAAATAAATTTTGGAACTGGAGTTTAGTGTTGTTCTTTGAAGGAATACTAAGTGAATAATGGGAGGGGAGTTTGTAAGGGGCTCAGAGTCAGCTTGGCATAAAGAAACTGATTTTAAGCCAGACTGCTGGCTTATTATTCTGCCGTGGAAAAATAACTTTGCATGAGAGCTGTGACCAGTTTAATCATGTGGACATTTCCTGGAGAATAGGATCACCTAAAAGACTAGATTACAGATGAGGAAGTTGCCCAGTAAAAGTAGAACCAGAGTCAGGGTTTTCTCTTTCAGGCAGTTCTGATGAATTGCACATTTCTACTCTGGCAATATTGCTTCTGAAGTAGTGCTTTTCGCATATGGTATTCTGTCAGATTCTGTTTCATGCTGTCTTTCTGGCTGTCCCAAGGGCCAAGGAGATCAATATCTGTACAATCCACAGTATTCTCTTCATGAGAACCTATGAGTGTAATTTCTTTCCTACTATGGATCCAGAAATTGCTGTATATCTGCTGAGAATCTTATCCGTTTTCACTGGATGGATATTGAATTGGTATCTGATTATATCCACCTTTTCATCCTGACTGCTGGGGAAGCTTAGAGGCAAACCTGTGGGTTAAGTTTAACAAAATTCATGAGGCTTATGGTGTGTACTGCATCTTTACCTTTATCTTATTTCTACTATTCCCCTTTCTCTTCTAATTTCCATATTCACTTTTTTTTTTTTTTTAATTTTGTACTGGATGCATATTTGTAAACTGCCACAGAATTGTTTTGGGATTCATTTGTGTGTGTGTCCATGTGTGGTTAGCCAGCTAGACAGCTAGACAGATGCGTACCAACAAACGTGCCAAGTACATCTATTTCTTCAGTAACACTGCAACATCACATTTCAACTGAGTTGCTTCTGTGAAGATTTTCTGTTCAAATCATATCGTGGAGACTGAAAATGTCAATCAAGGAGGATACTGGTTTCTATTTTGGGTATTTGTCCTTTTCCTCACCTTTTGTCTCATTAATCTTTGCCCTTGGTTAATTTAATCTTTTGGTCTGTAGCCCTTTTATACTTCTCCCTCCTTTAAGGTCTTCACATTGAGCTATTTAAATGATTTGATTTAGCTGTTGGTAATATAACACTTGAGAGTTTGAAAAACAAATAGGTGAGAGTTCATTATTTAGGATATTGGCAAAAATTGCATATCCCTATTGTGTAACTTTAGAAATAGCATGGTGTAGTAGAAAATTCGTGGCATTTGTATTCAAGAAACTTGTCTTTGTCATTCATAGCTATGTGACTTTGGACAAATCTATTAATGTCTTTGATTCATTTTCTTTTTTTTTTTTCCCATTACAGAAATGACTATATCTGCCATTTGATCGCATAAGGTTAGGAGAATAAATATGGTTATGATCTATTTGATGATGGTTTTTAAGCTTTATAAAATGGTAGTTATTTTTTCTTAATCTCTTTTGATTGTGGAGAAACAGAATATATTATTAGTGATTAAAATCAATTGCTTAGAATATTTTCTGGGTATACAGGTGTTGTTTGATATTTCTAAAGCTTTGAGAGAAAAATCACTTTTTTCTTTATATTGCTTTATGTTTAGCAACCTTTACTTTCATGTTTTTTCCTCACAATAATCTTGTCAGGATTGGTTTATTTACAGTTATAAAGTCTATCTAGAACTTTATAGAATATTTTCTTTTTTTGTGAAATTTATTATAGTATGAACAGTGACGAAGGGTGGCATTGATTTTCTGGAGACTTAACGACAAGTGATTGCTTACAAAATCAACTTCTAGTAGGTGTTTCTCAGAAGGGAGCCTACTTTTCCATAAAATAGAGACTGACTTCCTGTAGCTGAACCTTGGGAAATTTTATCCCATTAAGTGAAAATGTGTCAGATAAATATAAATCTAGAGAAGGAGGGAGACTTAAAGTATCTTCTCCATTCATCTTAACACATGGGGGAACTGGGCCATTGTCTCCCAACTGGGAGACTTAGGAGACTTTTACCACAGGTACTTATCTCTTTCCAGAACAAAGAAAATAACAGCGAACACTTGTATAGCATTTACTATAAGCCGTACACCCTAAATTATTTACTTATGTTAACTCTTTTAATATTCTTGAAATTCTATAAGGTGGTACAGTAGCCAGCCTCCAAAATGATGCCCAGTGATCCTCACCTACTGGTATAAATTCTCTTGTACAGTACCCTCACACACTGAAGAGGGTCAGCCTGTGTAACCAGAGAGTATAGAATAAATGATGATGTGTGACTTCTGAGGCTATTCATAAAAGATCTTGTGGCTTCTGCTTTGTTTTCTTGGATTGCTTATTTTGGAGTTAGCTAGCCACCATGTCTTGAGGAAGTTTAAGAAGCCTGTGGAGAGACCGACATGGGGAAGATCTGAGACCTCCAGCCAGCCAACATCAGTGAGCCATCAGACATGGATCCTGGTGTCTCAGTTAATTCTTCAGGTGCCTATAGCCCTGGCTGCCATCTCAACTGAGACCTCATGAGTGACACCAAATCAAAATCCTCCAGCTAAGCCACTACTGAATTTTTTATCACAAAAACTATGAGATAATGGTTACTTATTTTTTTAAGCCCAAAGTTTTGAGGAGTTTGTTATACAGCAATAAATTTAAGAAATACAGATTTTAGAACCCAGAGATGAGGTTCTGACATAAGCAATACATTAAAGTATCGAAGTGGTTTTGCAACTGAGCATTGGGCAAATGTTGGAAGTACTTTAGATAAGATAGTGAAAGGTAGGTACTTCACACTTGGTACTCAATATGGGTGAGTTCAGAAGTTTTGGGATGGACTGCAGGTATGAAACTTTTATTTATTTTTTTGTGGATGTTTAACCTACTTTTCACTAGTTTTTTTATAGCCTAAATTATTTTTCACCATATTATTGGGAGAAATGGTCATGTTTGTCAATAAAATACCCTTTGACAGGTTTCTGATTCCTGGGACTTGGTCATCGCTGAACTAGGCTTAAGTGTCTCCTCAAGTGATAAGGCAAAACATTACAGAGCTGTTGCTTATGATGGGGATGAGTAACAAGAATGCATTACCCATCTTCAGAGTTTTAGAACTGTGTGGAAGCTAATTGGCAATGACCTCCAGTATTTACATGCACAGAACAGGGGAGGTAGTATAGCATAGTGAAAACTAAACTTCTGGGCTGATTCACAACACTGTTAGGTACTTGTTGTGTAACCTTGTGCCTTTGAGTCCTGTTTGTGCAATGGAGATAATAATAGTTTCAGTCTTGATAATAATAGTTCCAGTCTTGCTTGTGAAATGAGTTCGTAAATATAAAACCATTAGGACAGTGTCAGGCTTCTATTAAGTACTATGTGAGTGTTATCAGTTCTTATTACAAACAATGCAAGTTATATGCACCTTCAGCTAATTCTTGGGAGACAGAATAACAGATAATTTCTTATAACAAGCAGCAAAATGAAAATTAGGCTAATCTCATCTTTGACTTTTATAACCATTACTGTGCATTAAAGTGTTGAATTTCATACCTTGTAAACTTGGCATAACCACGTCTATACATTTGAAGAAAAAAAGTAAGCCTACTAGTCAAAAGAACTTATCTTGAAGTTTTCATTTATTATTAGAATAATATACCTTTAAAAGTCTTATAGCAATGCTGTTAGAATTTTTTATTAGAATTATTTCCATTCATATTTTAATGCTTATTTCTTGATAATTTATGAGCTACTGAGTTATGGCTGTATAGTTTATGTTTGATTAAAATTAGGCTATTTTTTCCTGAGAAGAGAATTTAATTGTAAAATTGAGAAATATTTATAAGAAAAAAAGTGAAGATTTCAATATCATTGATGAAAACTTTCAAATGTACTTTTTACTTATATTTAAATAATCGTGTGCTTTCTTTTTCATTTGCAATACTTTAATCCAAATAAAGAAATCTCACTGCCTTGTGAATGACTCAAGAGCACTGGAAAATTCAGTGTGGTTTTAGATAAATTGGAAAAACTTACTGTCATAGTTTTCCTGTCCATTATTTTCCTTATCTCTTTCTAATTTATATTATTTTATGATACTATGTACATTATTGTAAGCCATCATGAAAAGAAGTTGGAAATCACTAGATAGTCCATAGACAAATATAGTTTTTCCTGGGTTCGAGTTGTGTAGAACAGTAATTTAAATTAATGATTAAAAATAATTTATTATAAAACATTTATAAGCTCTATGGGAAGAGAAATTTTTTAAAATAGCTTAATTACACACATTTACCAACTTGGTGAGATAAATGGATCTAATACTCTATTTTAAGGTCAAATCAATTTTAAATATAATCATTTTATTCCACATATTTTGAGATTAAAACTTGACAAGATATTCAGAAGTCACCATAACTGAAGCATCTGAAGATGATTATGAATATGAAGAGGTAATTCGTTCATTTTAGGTATTCTGTAAATTCATTGTGGTTGTTCTTGTTAAATATTTTATTCATTCATTCATTCATCCATTCATTCATTCCCTAAGATGCTGATTTTTCAACTGAATTTAGTTTCAGCTGGTTAAGAGTGAGGTGTGAAAATTGTATTTAAAATTTTAGATTGTTTAATACGTCTAGCTTTTTTTGGTTTCCTGTTAATCGTCCCTCAGCGTCAGCTCCATATCACCTGCCGTGTGGATCCATACTACAGACTGTCATCTGTCCAGCAGGCATTCCCCATTATTCAGTCTGTTCTCGGCAGGATTTCCCAAATTTCCACTACTTAGATGGAACTCAGATTCTATGCTTCCTTCCAGCTTAGCTGTACTTCTGTCTAATGTGGTTACTGTCTCAAACATTTTCTTTAATTCACTGTTCCGATGGGATCTATCATTACTTGTGAGGCTTGGAGGATAGAGTCACTCCTAGATGACAGTAGCTGTGAATGAAACTATATGGATGCAAGCCTGGCAATTTCTGGTTTGGGCAAGCAAGAGGCAGGACAAAGAACATAGGCTTTTTATTACTGCTGGTAAAATGGAGATAATATTAATACATACCATATGAAATTACTGAATGAATTAAATGTAAGGGGCTTAAAACTGATCAGTGCATAAGAAGGATGTTATAAGTGTTAACTATCATTAATATCATAATTAGAGTTGATTATGTTCTTCCAAGAGCTTAATATTCAGACAGTGAGGTGTTTTTTAATAGAGAGTTGAAGTTCTAGTAGTAGTTATGAAAAAGTAATAGGAGAGAAAATCTAGAATGAGGAGAAAATGGTGGCATTTAGATGGTCTAACCTTTTTTGTCAGTGGCTTTTTAGTTTACATTTGTCATTCTAGATAAAAGCAGTTATCCATAAGCTAATATCAAGTTTATTAGAAGTAACGTTGAGTGATGTTTAAAAGGAAGTCAGAAAGCTGCCTACTTGTTAGTTATCCATTTTTCATAATCTTCAAAATGACATAGTGTCTTACATAAAATGTATTTCTTTGATCCTTTGTTTTGTGAGGAAAAATCAGTTCTGAAATGAAATAAGGTATTTTTATGTTTCTGCTAACCCTTCTATCCTCTTCTTTCTCTGTGATTTAGATAGCAGATGACAATTTTAGCATTCCAGAAGGTGAAGAAGATCTGGCAAAAGCAATTCAAATTGTTCAAGAACAGGCTACAGATACTCAAATTTTGGTGAGAATTTTGAATACAACCATAGCTTATAGTTTAGCAGTGATAACTTTTTATGTGAAGTTTTGAAAGTCATTTAAATTTCAAGTACTTCACTTTACTTACCAAATGCAGCCCTTACACCTGCTATGTCTTTTTCACTTCAATTTCTCTGTCATCAGACCTTCACTTGAAGTAGTTATATTTACTCTTCTTTGATTTTCATTTTCCAAATTGTGGTCACTCTTGCATGACTTTGCAACAAATGACAATTTCCCTTAGAATTCTGATTATTTAATATCACTAGAGATGAAACCAACGATTTGCCTCATTCACATACATTTAAATTTCAGGAGGAGAAAACAGTCCTTCCTTCAAAGAACTTAGCTCCTGAAGTAATAGAAGACTTTCTCTGCAATTTCCTGATCAAAATGGGAATGACCAGAACTCTTGATTGCTTTCAATCTGAATGGTAAACAATTATATAGATAAGTAGTTCTCTAGAAATGCTAACAGTATTTAACATGTACACTTTTATCAACCTTGAAAGACCTGAAGTCCCTCAGTTTATACAAAATGGATGAAATGGATGGAAACCTTTTCCATACCCACTGCTGAAACCATACCACACACCCATACACACACACACACACACGCACACACACACACACACAAATGCATATAATCAGGATAGCAATTTCAAATATATTAAACATCTTTCCAAAATATTCAAATTTGGGTGATTTTCAAAAATCAAGAAAATAGAAGCTCTCCTGGTGTTATATAACACGAAGCTTCTTTTTTTTGATAAAATACTTTCTTAATATCTTCTGCATAATTATTAAGGGTATTATTTCCTGCATTAAGACATGCTACAAACAGTATTACTTTGCTTGTTTTACTTGTAGTGGCCTGCTTTTCTTTATTCACACACTGATTGTTTTTTTTTTCTATAAATAGTCCAGGTAGAAGTAAGTGGAAACGTATTTTCAAATAATGCCTGAACAGATTTTCTTGCTGTAATTGAAAATTTTAATAACTTACTGGTTATAAAAATTAGCGGGATTACTGTCTTTATCCCTTTGTTAACCAGTAATGTCACCAGGCATGTTTTCAGAAACTTGACATTCTTTAACAAAATATTATCAAATAATCAGATATGAAAATATGTTTGCTCTTTAAAAGCCATTGGGTATTATAGAAAGAGAGAATAATATGTCAAATAGAGATGTTTATAGTGTTTTTTGGCTAATCCTAATTTTAAATATAGAGTAATTTGTATTCCTACTAATTCAACTGTGATATAATTTTCATTTTTTGCTTTTTTTGGTTCTCATCTACTGAGACCATGTACATAGAAGAAATCAGCTTTATTATTTTAAATTGCATATTTAATGTTAAAAAATTCAAAGAGGAGCTCTATTTTTCATTAATATAGTTTAGGAGAAACAGCACATTTGATGGTAGAAAAATAATACTGTTCCTATTAGGTTTTGAAATTGTGTGAATGATTTTTATAAAAATATCCCCCAAAATAATTACAAATATATTAGAAAGTACATTGTTTTGTACAAGTAGATAGGTGACTAATTTGCAGTAATAATGAAATGAAAGATTAATGTGCTTCAGTTACCTTTTCTTCTGAAAATATGTGTTAGGACATGTAGTGCTAACATGTTTGTCCAGTCTAAAGTCTGAAATGATTCCCTTGGAGAAATCTAGAGCCAGCTCTACTCTTAACAGTTAAATCCTTGTCATATTATCCTTTTAGACATAGCAGTTTGAACTGAGGTGAAATTTCAAGAAGCTACAATTGTATTAGGATTTTTAGAACACTAAGTAAGCATACCATGACAATATTACAATCATAAAGTAAAATTTGTATGAAATATCTCTTTATTATATGTGTTTAGTAATACTGTGGTTCAGATAATTTTAACCTTATCTACGGCTGCCAGTTTGTAATGAGATTATGAATTATTTGTATTGAGATTATACTGTATTGGATATTTTTATTTGACATGAAACATGACTTTGATCAGAAACTACCTATTCTGCATAGTAGGACTATAAGAATATTAAATATATTTTATCATTTTTATTATGGAGAAAAACATATTATTGATACAGATTCTTTAATCTTACAAAGAGTAACAAAGCAAGATTTCTCCATAGTTTGTGAACAAATAAATAAACAAACAGACAAAAATAACCGATCCCCAAACTTGTGTCCTTTCAGTCCTCAAAACAGTAACTGCGGTAAATTCTTTAAATTTGGGGTCAACAACCTAAGACCCTTGGGCCAAATGTGGCCTGCTTTCTGTTTTCATAAATACAATTTTATTGGAACAGAGCCATGACCTTTCTTTTGGTTATTGTCTATGGCTACTTTCATGATGTAATGGCAAAGTTAATTAGTCACAACAGAGACCTTAGGGCCCAGAAAGCGTGTTTTGTGAATTCTATTTTCTGACCATTTACAAAAAATTCATATATATACATACACACACGCACACACACACCTCTGTATATACACATATAATATAGTATGTATTTTATATATGTGTACATATATATAACACAAGAATGTTGTGACTTCTGTTATGCTAACTTTTACTGTGCTAATATTTTAAATATGAGCTCTGTAAATATACAGAGATTTATTTATGTACTATGTTTTCAAGAAGGCAGGCTTGTAAGTGAATAATATAACTTAAATTTTTTAGCCAAAATTAATATAGTGTTTATTAAATATGAAAGATTTAAAAATAAGAACATGAAGCCTGAGACTAATCACTCAAGGAATGCACTTTGTATCATTTTTATTAGTACAGTGTGTTCTTTCTCATGCATTATCTCACTTCTCCCAACAACTATATATAGCAGGAAGCTACTGTTATATGAATGAGGAAATGGACTTAGAGAGGTTAGAAAATCTGCCTTAGCAAGTAGCAGCCATTCACAGCCAGTAAGTGGCAGTCAACCATCTCCCAACCACAATGTTGAAAATATGCCAATAAAGGCCTTTTAGCTTGACTAGAGACTGATAGAACTTAAGGAAGATTTTAAGTTAGAGTCCAAATTTGTGCCTGTTTTCCATTTTGGCTTGAGGAATCATGGGGCGAATACTAAACTTGTTCAATTGTACTATCTCTTTCTTTTGGAGGATTCTGCTTCTACAGTGATATATCATGATGGTGCTGGTAATTTTAACATTCTCAGTTTGAGCAGTAATTAAGAGAATTTTGTCTTTGGTGAAGTGTTTCTAACTCTCTCCGAATACATGGAGGGCAGATTTTCATTTGACGCTTCTTATTGTCTAGATGACTTGTTTCCCTGTCTTTTATGTACTATGCCTTACATGCCATCGTGAAGGAAAAATAACCCTTATTTATAAGACACTATTTATATTTTTGCTGAGATTCTATCATGTTAGTTGTCATTCATGACAGTGAATTTTGAACTCTTTCAGTATATACACCGATCTTATGAAAGCCTATGCACTTTCTCCCTGAAATATATTTCTATATAATTGTAAGTAGTTTATGGACTTTGTGGTGAATATGAAGACCATTAATGACTTTATATTGGCAATAATTCATTGGCAATTCTGTTGGTAGTAATTTTTATTTCCAGTTGCTAACAGTTACATGACAATCTTTTTCCTCGTCTGAATGTTTTTCAGTCTTATTCTAAGGGTAAGTGACTAAAGTGGAAGAAATAAAGAAGGCCATGATATTTCTTTAAAACACACACACAGACACATCTGAAACAAAACCAAAAGATGTCTTATGTAGGAAAATGCAGGTTGAATTGAAAAATATATTTCTAGAGTTTTTAGATTAAGATTCTTAATTATATTATAGTATTATAATAGTGAGTTTCAAGTCATATTTAATATTTTTACGTGGATGGCATAAATTTTATGTGATAAATGACTTTTGAATGTCCTAAAGTATATATGATGTAGTATATGTTACGTTGTGTTATGTTTTGATTTTTACTTAACCAGATATTAATTTATTTACATTGCATTTAATTTAGAGGACTACACATCACTTTTTTTCTTATCAAAATCATTTCTATGGTTGTTTTTTCTGCATTAAATAAAGCAAGTTGCTGAAAACCAATTTTATGCTCAGAAAAACTTAATGGTCCAATACTTTAATCAATTCTTATGTCTTTTCTTCTGAGATAAATATTAATTACATTTCAAATATGGATAAAATAGTGAATTTATGATGAAATGATTGTCTATTTGTTGTTTTAGAAATTGTGGCAAATATTACTTAATATCGATTCAGTTATTTTAACCTTTTGGATATTCTGCAGTGGTTATCTTGTTTTTTATATCAGATAAGGTATATAACATAAAAACATGACTATAAAATACTGATAAGTAAACATTTTAAAAATTGTTCAGCTCATCTATAGCAAGCTTTGTAGAGGTTTGTTTATTAATAATTTATTAGTTGAAATGTTTTTATACTCTGTTATTGATATTAATTTCTACATATAATGATTAAAATTATAAATATTTACAAATCTCTAAATAATTCTCTGATGTTCCTTCTTATTTCACTGAGAAAATAGAAGTGCCATGACTCCTGCCTCCATCTGTACTAACCTGCTGCCTCTGTTCTCAGGTGTTCCCTTTCATGTGTCACAGAGGCTGAGCCAAACACACTGTCACCTGAGGCTACCCCTCCTCTTCTCTCCTGGATCCCAGCTCCTCTGGCTTTCTCAGTGACATTGCTCCTGCAATTGTACCCTCTCTTTCCTGCATTGTAAACTTTTTATTTTTCTGCTGGATCATTCCCATAAGCATACAGATGTCATATATTTAAAAAAGAATAAATCAAAGAACACTTTGAACTCCACATTCTCTTCCGGATTCATCTTGGTTTCCTAGGCTCTGCTTTATGGCAGGTGTCCTTGAAAGAGTTTGTTGCCCCTTCATTTCCTACTCTCTCATACCTCCACTGGTTCCAATTTCAGCTCCATAACTCTACTTCTTTCAGTGGCTTCACATTGCCAGATTCAGTGATAGATCCTCAGTGATGGACCCTCAGCGATGGACCCTTACTCATCGTTCTTGCAGCATTTGTCGCTGTTGCTCTTTCCTTCCTTCTGGCAACTCTTTATTCACTTGGTCCCTGAGATACAACACTCATATTCTCCTACTACTTTACTGCTTCCTCTCTTTTTAGTCTCTATTTGGTAGTATTTCTTTTCTTCACATTCTTAAAACAGTCCTAAGACTTTAATTCTCTCTTCACATGCACTACCTGGCTGGCCTTATCCAGTTTTGTGACTTTAAATAGTACCTGTTTACTTATACATGTCCTGACTTTTTCCCTGAATTCTGGACACGCATGTCCAATATTTATCTTCACTCTACTTCCCAGTAGACATAATACTGCATTTAACATGAATAAAAACAGTTCCTTGATTTCTCTAACCACCCACTTCCTACTGCGTTTGTCCTCATCTTAGTAAATGGCTATCTGTTGCTCATCCTTGACTTCTCTTTTTAACCAACACCTGAAAGTTGATCTGTAAGAGAATCCTGTTGGCTCCACCTTTATAGCATGTCCAGAAGGGACTCATTTTTCATAATCATTGCTGCTGCTAACTTTGTTCAAGTCACCATTTTCCCTCTCCTGGACTACTGCAGCAGCCTCTGATTCTATTCTTGCTCCTCTAGAGCAGCAGTCTCCAACTTTTTTTGGCACCAGGGACCAATGCTCCTATGAGAATCTAATGCCTGATGATCTGAGGTGGAGCAGAGGTGGCGATGCTAGTGCTGAGGAGTGGCCACAAATACAGATGAAGCTTCATTCTGCTGGCCCTCCACTCACCTCCTGCTGTACGGCCCTGTCTTCCTGACCCATCTCTCACCAGTCTATCTCCCTTAATTAGTTGGCTCCAGCTCCAAATACTCTAGAAGTACTGACTTTTTGCTCTTTATTGTACATGCCAAGCACCTCCCAATCTCAGGTCCTTTACATTTGCTTTTATATCAGCCACGAATGCTCTTTTCCCACATATCCACATGGCTTAGTCCCTCATTCCCTTTAGTTCTCGGCTCAAATATCACTTTGTCGGTCATACTTTTTCTGGCCACCCTAAATAAAATAGCACAAACCCCCCATCACTCTCTACCTCAGTCTCTTTATCCTTTTTATTCTGCTTTATTTTACTTCATATAGACCATATCACCATCCGCACTAGAATAGAAACTCCATTATTTAAGGACTTGAACAATTTTGTTAATTTCACCAACGTCTAGTGTATGAGACATAGGAGATGTTCGGTTCTATTTAATCTACCATGATGATATTAGTACCAAACAATTAATTGATATTTTATTTAAAAGATATATTATGAATGTATACATTTTAATTTATGTAATATTGCAACTAATTTCTATAAATATTTCCTAAGGCTTAAATTTTTGAATTGTACATATTAAGCCAATTTAGTAGAAAGTAACAATATAAAGTCTTTTATTTGATTTTCTCCTAGGTATGAGTTAATACAGAAGGGAGTAACTGAACTTAGAGATTTCGGGAATGTTCCAGATGTCTACACCCAGAATATGCTTTTAGAAAGTGAGATCAAAAATTTGAAGAAAGACTTGAAACACTACAAACAGGCAGCTGAGTATGTTATTTTTTTAATGACTTTTTTTCCTATTTATTTTGGACTAATTAAAAGTAAAGAGTTGAATGAGAGGCTAATATGTGGATGGTAGTTAATGTACCAGAACATTAATTCTGGAGAACCGAATTATATTTAAGTTTTGTTGGAATTGATGTGAAAGGCTTCAGTAGCAAATTAATCAAACAGATGACCAGAACTCTCACAATTGCAACTCCTCAATAAGAGTAGAACACAAGGGGTTATATAGGAGATGGTTAATTTTTTATGTAATATTGACTTCCTTATGTATTTTGATAATCTTTTCATGGTTTGTCACATCTCCTGTGAGGATAAGCTAATTTCTGATATAGCATTAAAATGATAGAAAACAGAGAGGAAGGAAGGAACTAGTATATTCCTAGTAGAGGAATTTCAGTATTTGAAAATTCCCCAAAGGAAACTGTTATTTTGTAATTTTCTAGCACGAATTTAGGCATAGTGGAGAAACTTAAGACTTCAAAATCAAGTCTCTCTACATCTTTTTTTTTTCCTTCTAAAATTAATGGAACACATGCGATTTTAAGCAAACAAATTTAGACAACGTTATTCTGGCAAAGACAAATATGTGAATGTGTTGACTTGGGGTGAATCTACTCATCTAAGACAATGTTAGAAAAATCAATGCTTAGATATGGAGTAGAGACAATTTAAGCTTTGTTCATTAATTTTTATTAAATATATTTAAAAGGGGCTTTCTCTGTTGAAGAATAATACTAAAACCAAAAATTAGATAAACCGAACTGCCATATAGGAACATAATATGTTTAAGATCTTTGTAAAAAGTTTTAGTGTAAAGAAATGTCTTTGTATTGTAAAATGAAAGAAACATTTAAGGTAAGTTTCTACTTTTAAAAGGTGGTGGTAAATAAAAGATAATTTGTATGGTCATTTATTCATTTATTATAATATACACTTATAGAAATATTTTTGCAAGTTATACAAATTTCATATTATCTATGGATGTACTCTTTGGCATTTTACATTTTAGATGGGAGTGTATGATGATCCACAGAATAATATGTTACTAGAACTAGCATTCTATTTATTCTCAGTTCCATTTCTCAGAAGTGATTTGCACTGTTGGCCCTGATGCTCACTATGATTTCGTATAGCACCTAATGGATTCACTGGGAATTTGACACAGCAAATTTTTCAGAGTACTGCCTGGCATACTGTTTCAAATTTTGAATCTTTTGAATTATTGCTTAAGTTTGCTAATTTTCTTTCGAATAGATAGAGCCATTTCGTGCAATGAGTTTTGCCTCAGTGACATTAAATAATCATTGTGGATTATTGGTTGTTTATTGAATATTATATTTAATAATTATAATCGAAATCATATAAACTGTTACCCATGAAAATTAACTTAATGTTAGAAGAAATCATTAAAACAAATATCATTTAAATGAAATCTGTCCCTTTGTGTTTACTAAAATATCAGATTACTAAATGTTTACAAAATATATTTACTAAAATATAGTTTTAGTTTCAACGACTTATGGTTGTCTCTCAAATCTGTCTTATTCTATATAATTAAACTTGAACAAATTAGAAAAGGAAAATATGTATTTGCTTTAATCTACCTGGCATGGGAAATTTGAAGGGAAGCTGCTTGACCTCAGTAAATGCCTAATGTTAACATCGTGAATGAATGTGAAGCACGTTGTACTTTCACTGTGCCTTTTGGTGAAGTGTGTCCCTGTAGCCTAATTCTATTGGAGACGTTCTCAGAAAATGGAGAATGCAGTTTTATAAAAAAAAAAAAAAATCACCAAACTATATCTGTCATGCTATAAATTTGCCCCAAATTGTAATATTTTCTCATTTAGGGTTTTTAATTTGACTCGTAAGGATATTTTTCTAATAGAAATTAGTGATAAACATGGGATTTCCTTTATGGAATTTACTATAAAGTTTTTCTTTTTAGGATTAAGGCTATTTCTTAAAGCAAGATAAATTTAGATGTTAAATACTTTTCTAATAATAAGTAGTAGTTGAAATGCAAATATAGTCAGGTTACAGATATCTATTGTCTTGATTATACTGGTAGTATTTAGTGATTTATCTAGAAAAATCAGAGAGATCATTTAGCTATAAACTCAATATTTATCTAGGAGAGAGTTGCCTTGGAAAAAGTACTGAACTCAAAGTTCAAATATCTAGCTTCCAATATTCTGCTACTTATTAACTCAGTTTTCTTACTGTTGAACCGGGAGTAATTATACATAATATTATTAACTCCTAGGGAGTGATGTGATAATTAAATGAGACAATCTACATTAAAGAGCTGTATAAATCACAAAGTGCTTTGAAAATGTCAACTATTACCAATATCTCTAAAGGCTGTCATTCCTATATTTTTTTTAAATCATCACATCATTAATATTTTTTTAAAATTCAGCAGTGATAAAGCATGAAGGAAGAAATGAAAAGGGAAAATATTTTACTCTAAAATATCATTTAAATTGCTATAATTAAAAAAGAAATTGTCTTTTTCTCTGTTGTAAGCAATGACAATTTTAAAACAGATTTTCCTTATAAGTGTAGATTATAGTCTAAAAAATAAAATTTGGTGTTTGATGTATATTGTATGTGTGGTGACAGATGTTAATTAGATTTATCTTGGGGATCATTTTGCTATATATGTATATACACACATACATATACACATATATATAAATATTGACTCATGTTATACACCTGAAACTAATATTATGTATCAATTATACCTTGATTAAAAAATATTTGTGAAATAACTATTTGAAAATTTTCCTTATAGATGTTTTTAAGGGGAAAATATATTGTTAAAAAAAAATTATGGTTACAATGAAGGTAAAAGTAAGTATATTATGTCTTTGATACTGGAGAGGAATGATATAGGTAGTAGTTAGACATTCTTTCTTGGAAAAGTAGAATATAGCTATACTTTTATATTGAAATGCAGACCAATTGTAATTTTAAATGCAGAGGTCTAGAATTTAAGTGACCTGCCACACATTTGCAGAGAATTGTTGGTTAAATGAAGACTAGAAAGCATCACTATCTTTCACAGTTAAGACACTATTTTATAAACCTTATTTGACAACATGGCTTCTCCTTTGGCATGTTTAATTTGATGTTTTAATGGACATCTTTGCAGTTTAAGTTGACAGTTTTAAGATAAAATTCTCTCCTAATGATGACTCGATGGGAGAATCAACAGAACCTGTAGGATCTTATTTGGAATTGACATTCTCTATTGTAATTTTGTTCCTGTTTATTTTTAAATTTTCTTTTTGTTTCACTGGCAAGGAAAGATGCTCAGTTTTAAGCATTAGAAGGGTACAAGTTGCTTTGTACAATGAAACTAAATGTGTATACACATATCACAGGTGCACACACACACACAAAGTTTGTATATTCTATGTCCTTTATATTTCCATATAAATTTTAGAGTCATTTTGTCAATTTCTATAGAAAGGCAAGGGTGAGAATAAGATTGGAATTGATTTGAATCTGTAAGAATTTGGGAAGAATGTGTATGTGCATGTACAAAAGTATTTACATATACATGTATTTTTTTGGTGCATTTATAAATTTTTGCCTTCTATTTACATGGGATATCTATAGGATATCTTTTTGACTACTGAATATTTATGAAAGAGCTTGAAATTTATGCCTTTTACCATTTAATTATCTAATATATATATTTTGTTTTTAAATTGTGAACTCCATATAATAGGCACTGTGTTTTGTGTTTAACATATCTCCAGGGCTTATATCTGTGCTTGACAAAAGGTATGATGTAAATGAATGTGTGCAATCGACAGTTTGGCTCTTTAGTTAAGCTTTTAGTAATTTTTTGAGCAGTTAATTAATAATTTTTGCCTCTTTCATATAATTTTTTGGAGTAGATAGCATTTTCCTTTCACAATGGGAATTTGAATAAATTTCTATAAAGCTGTCTTGCCCCATTTAGACAGCTTTGCTGAGCTTTTACATTATAGAACTACGGTGCAGACCAGAAAAGTTTTATTGCATCCTGAAGATTTGGCAGAAAATGATACTGACGGGGATTACTAATTACAAGATTAAAATATAGCATTTAAAAAAATAATGAAATACTTTCTATTACTTTCTCCCAGGAAATATAAACAAAAAAACTAAAATGGCAATTAATATTGAAAAATTATGTGCTTTACTAAGGGGCCCTAATTTCACTTACGAATTCACTTCTGTTAAAGGTCAAAGGGTACTCAGCTTTTCAGAGAACCATTTAATTTAATGACATTCAGAAACAAACACTGTGAAAATAAAGATAATAATGAGGTCCATAAAATTTCATGCTTTTGTGTTTAGGTAGTTACTTGTTAAATTAAGAAGGTATTTTTTCTGGACATGGGTATACCCTTTTTTTGGTTAAGATTTTAATGAAAGTTTTCTTCTAAATTGGGTGAATTCTATTTTGTCTATACAGTAGTTATTTAATATTAATTTTAATGGGTTAAATTAATTCATAACCTATTGAAGACAATGAAAGAATTGGTAATCATTATACTATTATCAGAAATTATGTCGATTCAAGTTTGCACATGAGAAAAATACATGACAAAGATGGCCTACTTTGGTTGGTGCAGCTAAACAAGAAAATGTTTATATGCTTCCTTTTGCTAAATTGTGATGACAAACTGACCCAGTAAATCTATTATTAAATGGTCACTCTGAAATACCTAGTTAAAACTATTCAGTTAATAAAAGTATTTTTTAGGGGCATTCACTTAAAATTTTTTTAGTGCTTACTGTTAAGTCACATTCACATGCTGAAACATGGAGTTTGAGGGATAATGTTATAGTATAATAAAAATATAAATATTTTAACATCTTATGCTTTAACAGTAGATTTTGATATGCTGATTTCCTGAAATGGGGAAGTTAGATGGTTATTCTGCCATCTTATTGAGAGAAAGGGTGTAAATATGTGTCTTATGATATACAAATCTAAATAGCATGTTTCACTGAATAATTCCTACTTCATTATACTTAAAATGGAATCTGTATGTTTGGTGTCTTAATAAAAGTTCTTTTTTTAAAAAAACATAAATATGCTCTATTAACATAATGAAAAAATACTATATAGTTTAAAATATTAATTTCTTATATGAATATTTTAAACTTTATTTTTAGTACAGCTTTTATTTCCCTTTTATTAAGCACATGGGCTGCAGGAAGGTTATAATAGGAGAAGCATCACCATGAAGTGAATTTAAATTGTTTTACTGAGTAAACTTCATTTGTGCAAACAGAAAGCAAGTCCCCGAAAACCAATTTAATGGTCAGAAAAACTTTAAGGTCTAATACTTCAATCAATTCCTATGCTCTCTTTCCTTGGATGAATACAAATAGGCATTTAAATGTATATTTTTAAAGTGAGTTGATGCAATGTTGCACATTTGTGGTTCTGCTTAAGAAACTTTGCAGCATTCTTTTTCTATGTATTTTTTTAACCTATTAAGGGTTTACATTTTGGATAAGACAAATAAAACATAAGCTCATTTATGTAATTCATTAAGTTGTTGAAAGTAAGACCGTTTTTGTAGATTCAAACTAGACATTCATAAAGTTTACATTCTTTTGTAAAGATACAGTGTTACTAATAATCATGTATTCTGATATTTTTGGTGCATTAGAGGGTATTTACCTACTGGCTTGTCCCCTATTTTAGGTAGATAAATCTAGTTAGAGGAATTGAATATATCTGTTCTGTTATACTAAATAGTAATAGTAATATGATGATGATGATGATGATGATGATGATGATGATTACTACAATAACATTTATTGAGTATTTTCTATTTGCCAAATAGTATATAAGCCACTTTGTATATTTCCTTCCAAATGAATGGGAATTCAGGTGATATTCTTGTGTTTTTACAACAAAATATGAACTCAGCCATTTATCTTTTTCAATTGCTCTACTTACACTTTCTCTTCCTCTTCATGTACTACTCATTAGGCAAATGGTGGTAGCAGAGGGGTTCTCTCTTTTTTGGTTCATCTCCATTCACATACACAGAGGGTAAAAACCTGTAACAAATAAATTATTCATTCATTTAATAATTGGCATATTCCTCAGATTTTTTTTTAAAACCTACAGCACCTGGTCTTCCTAGGTGGTCTCCCATCCAAGTACTAACCAGGCCTACCCTGCTTTGCTTCCGAGATCAGACGGGATCGGGCACGTTCAGGGTGGGATGGGCGTAGATTGGGCTCACATTATTTTTCAAGACCGAATATTTTAATGATCAATTTGTTGCTCCTAAATGATGTTGGCATGGAAGTGAAATTGAGGGTTAGATGGTGGGAGTAGACCATGAGTACTGTGACACATCGTTTATTTACATGTAATAACGACTACAACAGTGGCAGTAAAATAAAGAACAATGTAGGTCTTCCAAAAAAAGAAGAGGGGCAGGGGATAGGAGAGAAAGAACAAAACTTGGAAAAATGGATGAGTCACTGCCACCATATGTCACATGTGACTTGATCTTGCAGCACATATTATTACCACTGATCATAGTATGCTCCATCAGGAGCCTGAAAACTTAACTTCATTCCCCTTCTTTGGAAGCATCCCAGTTACTACTGCTCCGTGATTGCTCTGACATGGCTCCTAAAGCAGAGATCTATTTGCATGCATTTATTTTATGTTAATTTGAATTTTGAAATACCGTGATACAGAGAAGCAGATTTATTCCATTCTCATCCTCTTGTGAGATGTCAGCCCTAACTCAGTCCATCCATTTTTCAGAACATGAGAGTCTTAGAGCAGTAGCACATTGTCATTTAACTAAGACTGTTAGATGACTGCTTTTTCATTATAAATTATATTTTACATTTTTATATTGCAACTAACTTATAGGGGTAAGTGAAATAATTCCATTAATTTTTCACATACATACAGCCTGGGCTTAGAATTAATACTCATGCTTTATGCCAGGGGTTTGTAGAAGTTACATCCAGTTGAAGAATGCTTCTGTATTACTATATTTAAGACCTTTCTCGTCAAGTTATCAATTTTTCTAGTAATAGTATATGCAGGTGGTGTGTATTTCTCGTATACATTACCATAATAAAGCCTTGGTTTTCCAGAACTTATGTGCTTTCTTTTTTATAGTTATCAGAACTAAGTAACCCAATGAATTCTCTTTTAAATATATATTCTAGCAAGTTCATAATTAAATTTTATAAAGTCTTTTCCTATATTTGTAATAATTTTGAATTATTCAGTTTTATATGTATTTCAATTTTGTAAACAAATTTTCTTTTGAAGTAGATGGATTATAACTTATTTTGGCAGCATATCTTTAGTTTTCCTTAAATGTGAACGAATGCTATTTTCGAAACTACAAGTTTTGGCCTGTTTAACTCCTATGCCCATATACATTATGTTGGTTGGGATCCTTCAATGAGCATTATAATGGAATCTTTGTTGTTAAATAGTCTTTTAAATTGCTCAATACTGGATTGGAACTGGTAATTAAATTTTTTTTTTTTCAGAAAGGAATTAGCAGTGATTTTTAAAGTTGTTTTTTTTCCAGCAAAGCTAGAGAAGATCTGCTGAAAACTCAGAAAGAACGTGATTTTCATCGAATGCATCACAAGCGAATAGTCCAAGAGAAAAACAAATTAATCAATGATCTCAAAGGGTAAGCTGCTAATATTTGTTGGCATATTTGTTAAAGAGCTATTTAATTAGTATTAAGTAATTTGGTTATGGCAGAAGGTTTTAGGCAAAGTTATTCATTTAATATTTATTGAGTACCTACTGTGTGTATACTGTATGTTTGAAGTACAAAGATGAGTGTGTTTAGACTCTTGCTGTCATATCCTCTGTCTGCCAGGGCAGTTTTGGCATTTCCATTTTGCTGAGTGTTGGCTATTACTTTTCCGAAGTTTCTAAGAGCCACTCCAGGAGTGAGTTCACCTCATTCACCGGAGTACTTGTTCCAGTACTTGTAAAATCTGATGTCTTAAGAAAGTGATTCAAGGTCAATGAATTATTGTTTATCCAGTCTTAGATTACAGCCCTTTTTATCAGGTATCGCAAATCCCAGTCTGTGGAGTATAGTCTGTGGGATTCATTCTTGAAGTGGTTTTGATGCATAGTCTTTTACTTCCCTTGTCAGACCATTAGCTTGGCAGTCAGGTAAGAAGGGCATCTTTTACCTGCAAAGAGATCTTTGCAGCAACCTGTAGCACAGCTGAAGTGTTAGCTCTTTCTAGGGAAGGAGGGCCTCCTCTGCAAGCCTATAGGGCTGAGGAGAGGGACTGCAGAACCAACAGGGTCATCTTGGGAACCAGAGTAAAAGGTAATTTTATATTGATAAAAGAGTTAGTTTATCAGGAAGACAGCATATGTGAATCTAATATAAGAGCTTCAAAATATGTGGAGCAAAACCTGGTAAAGCAGAAAGGAAAAATAAATATTCCCACAGTTAAAATGGAAGATTTTAATACTCCTCTCTTAGCAGTTAGTAGAAAAATAGGTAAAAAGTCTCTTAAATCTATAGAACAGGACAAATTAATTGAGCATAATTGACATTTATTGAGTTTTACGTTGAACTTTTCAAGCACACATGGAATGTTCACTAAGGCAGATTGTATGCTGAGCCATAAAACAAGTCTCTATAAATTTCAAAGAACTGATGTCATACAAAAAATATTCTCTGATTACAACCAAATTAAATTAAAAATTAATGACACAAAGCTCTCTGGAAAATTCCCAAATATCTGGAAATTAAGTAACACACTTCTTTTTAAAAAATTTTTTAATTAGTTTCAAGTATACAGTACATTGGTTAGACATCTATATAGTTAGTAAAATGATCCCCTCAATTGCTTCCTCCCTCCCCTGACCCTCCACCTAGCCAGTATATTAATGCTAATGCTATGCTCTCCATCCCCATGACCATCCATCAGCTACTAATTTGTATTTTTTTAACCCTTCACCCCATTCTCCCCGTCCCCCAAACCTCCCTCCCCTTTGTCCGTCACCAAATTGTCCACTATATTTGTGAGTCTGATTTTGATTAGTTTGTTCTTTTTATAACTTAAATTCCGCATGAGTGGAATCATATAGTGTTTATCTTTCTCTGTCTGACTTAAATACCTTCTCTGTTCATCAAAGCAATATCTTTTTTCCCATTCCCTTCCTTTTCATATGTAGGGATCTTGTTTTCTTATCCTTTCAGCCACTCTATCTTTTGATTGGAGCACTTAATTCGTTTCCATGTAAGGTACTTATTGATAGGAATGTAATTGTTACCATTCTTTATTCCTGTTTTTGATACATGTTTTTTCTTAAAGAAGTCCCTCCAAGATTTCCTGTAATACTGGCTTGGTGTCGATGAATTCTTTTAGCTTATTTTTGTCTGGGAAGATCTTTATCTGTCTTTCGACTCTAAATGATAGCTTTGCTGGATAAAGTATTCTTGGCTGTAGATCCTGGGTTTTCATCATGTAAAATATTTTTTGCCAAGTCCTTCTGTCCTGCATAGTTTCTTTTGAGAAATCAGGTGCCAGTCTTATGGGTTCTCCCTTGTAGATAACTAACTGC